TCAGGTCTTAGTGTATTTGAAGAATTTCATATGATCACCCTGAGACTTTTCTTCTTTGGGGAAAACCATCAAATTTCTTCAATTTTTTTTTGTAGGTCATATTTTCTAGACCTTTCATCGCATTCTTTACTCTTGAGAAGACTCACCAATTGATCCACTTCTTTGCTATACCAAACACAATCAGATTTGCCCATCTGGGGACCTAACACTGGTGGTCAGAGCATAAGGATTACTTCCTGTGTTTGGCAAGCTATATTCTTGTTTACATAGTCCTGTATAGTGTTTTCTTTCTTAGTGACAGCATGACTTGTTGGCTTACATTCATCTGTTCCACTCTGTAGACTATGGGCCATCTTAGGAACTGTTAGCCTGCCTGTATTTTTTACATTTGATTATTTCTGCCTAAGCATTCTTTGCCCTTGTTTTGAATTCTGCTTTTAGCCCACTCCTCCGATGCAAGATTTTTTTTTTTTATTTTTTATTTTTTTTTAATTTCAATGTTGTCCTTCATACTTGCAGCCTTTCTTTTAGATATGTCACCTGGAAACATGACAATCAGAGTCATTACATTTCTTTCTGGAAGTGTCCTGTTGCCCTGTCCAGTGCTCACAAAATCCCCTAAGCCCCTAACCACAATCTTCCCCCAAATCTTCCCAGTCCTCTAAATAATTATGGGTCTGTTAAAGAAGCAGCTCTGTTTATTCTCATTGAATTTGTTCATTGTATGAAGTCCAGCATGCATGTGTAACTGTTTACAAAAGTATGGCTTAGGACTGTAAATTTCCTAACCTACTCCAAATAAAAAGTCCTAAAAAAAGAAGGCTATTATCACAGTTTGGGAGGGATTATGTACTGATCAAAGTCAAAGCAGCAGCTCTATTAAAATTTGTGATTGCAGAGGCTGCAGAATACATAGCCTGACCTAATGAAAAAGAAAATTTTTTTTTAATCCCCCAATTCTTTCTCAAAAATACCTTCTTGTATTTTCCTTAATATTTTCCAGAAGGTGTGTACACTTTCTCTCAGTCACTATTCCAAAATGCCTGTCTTTGTACAGGGAAGTGTTTGTTGTCTTCTATCAGTGCAACAAATTGGGCTTTTCCACATGCTTTTCATTAAAGACTAGGCGGTGGAGTTGGCATTTGATTAATAAGCTTTTGATCCATACTTAATCCTAGGGTGGCATGCATCCAGAGCATGCAGAGTGTTGGATATTGTGTACCTAATGAAATAGCTGTTGGTGTACAGCACAGTAGGAGGCTCTCTCATGTTCTCAAACAGCAGCTTTAGAGTCTGTCCGTTTTCCCTGGACGGGTCTTTGGGGAGAGAGGCAGAAAGAGTTCCTGAGAAGCAGGTCCTCTTCTGTTTGCTCCAGTTTCTTTCCAGTGGATTTGCAGTGAAAGTAAAATAAAGCAATACGTTTTTTGTTTTTCATCCTAGATCTACTTAAGCTGCACCATCATTTCATAGCAACATAATCCCATAAAATATGACGTGCAATTGCTCATTTAGAAATATTCTCTTATACCACTGTAGATCAGGAGAATGTCCTCTGAAAACAGTGGAATTATTCTCACTTTTCAGTGAGAATATAATTCAAGAGACCAGAAAGCAATGAAATGCAGCAGTAATGAAATACAACTGATGACAAAAATGTTTCAATCTTTCTCGTTTTACAAGAAAGATAGATGATGTAATCCTGATTGCCTGTAGGTTTATAGACCAGATGTAAAGCAGTCCAGCTCTGGGGAGATGCCCAGAAGTGTGACTTCCTATGGCAAGCTTCAGGCAAATCTGATGTCTCATTTCATTCAGCTATACTTTAAGATACAGAGAAGGATATAAGGGGCAAGAGAGTCCAAAGAAAAGAGATGGAGATTATGCTGGATCACAGTTGCAGACTGAAGTCCTCTAGAAAAAGTCTGAATGATCTCAGAAACTTCTTTGGAAAGGAAAGGGCTTTGCAAAAAACTGAGAAGAGTGATGCAGTTTTAGCTCTTCTCTACTGTTGTGCTTTACAAGATCTGAGATTTTCTTTGGCAGCTTGAAGAAACTAGCAGGCCATTTTCTAAACAAAATCCTCAGTCATCAAGAGTGAGCAGGATATCAGAATCACTAACAGAACATGAAAGGAGTGGTGGGAAACATCAACAATTCTTGTTAAGCACAGCAAATAATAATAATATTCAGAGGATAAAGCCAAAATAGCACTGAACCTGTGACACTTTTAGGACACTAGGCAGTTGTGTAGGGAGAACACATCTTTGCGAAGTTTCTAAAAATGCTCTAAAACCCCACAGTCTTGTTGAAGTAGGGGCTCAGCTCACTTGGGCAGAAGAACACGTTATTAGGCATTTTACAGGATTTTCTGTGTCTTCTATTGCTTCTCACACATAGGTCGCAAACTGTATTATAGGGTGGTCAATATCATTGTTCTTGCTGTGCTGAAAGGCCAAATAAGCACTCAGGAGTTGATAATTTACTTGGGGTTACCCCAAAGCAGAGTGGAGGACTCCAGAGTGTCTGTTTAGTATGTTATTTACTTGATCAGTGTTTCCTGAGAAGAATCTACCCAGGGAAGGTTGGCATGATATACTCACATGGACAGAGGTCACATCAAAAAGTTTAACACCTCAAATTTACAAAGGTGAAGCAAGAGCAGAGAGTAATGCATTAATTTTCTTCTAGTCTCACAGCAGTTAACAGAAGAAACACGTCTTCAAAGGTAGGTGCTGTGCCTTGCTGACAAGGAGCCCACCCCCAGTCCAGGCTGGCTCAGCCGGGGTCTGTGGTCACGCTCTCTCCTCCTAAGATCAAACTATTTTCACCTGGAGGTGGAAGAGAGAAGTGATAATATGAGATACGTTTATTTTGCACACCAGTGAAATTCTAGGAACAGGAAACAGAAAAACTCTCTGTCAAATGGGACCAAAATAAGAAGAGAATTACGAATGCCATACCGAGTAATTCACATTTGGCACTTTGTACTTAAAACAGTTTCGTATGTGCCCTTTGAAAGCATGAGGCAGCATGCATGAAAAAAAAGCACCTATTTCCCTTATGTTTTGAGCAGGGATCCATATGTTTTAAAAATTAAAAAGAACATTTAGTCTTGGAGCATGAAATCTGCCCATCTAGGTAGCTGACTAGCTTTCTCACAAAGATGGCTGTCCCAGAGCGAAGCTGAGGAAACAAGGCTTGGAAGTTTAAACATTGGTAGGTGTGTGGGAACATAAATTAAAAAGAATGTCAATTTTAATTACTTTCATTTACTTTTATTTGCTGAGTTTCCAGGCTGACATCAGAAGTTACATCTGTTGGGTTGCTAGCAGTGTGGGGTACGGTGCAAAGGGGCATCAGGACAGGATAGGCTCAGTCCCCATGTTGACAGTAGGATCTGCAATGACAGCATATTATCTGATGTAAGAAATCCCTAATAGAAACGGGAGCTTCCCAGTGTCTCCCCCAAACATGGAAAGTACCATGCTGTCAGCTCAGCAGGAGCTTCCAGGCCTCTGGACACTTCAATCATGTAATTATTAGACACCTCTGGATTCTCTGATGAGGTTTTCCTATTTTTCTTGGAAAGATCATGGATGGAAGAAGGATAAATGATAATCATGTGAGAGTGAGGGAATGCCTACACAATGAAAGAAAGGGTGACTGGAAGAGATCTTTTCATTTCAGTGGATTGTGTGGAATAGAAAGATACAGATTTAAGGCATTATAGTGACTAACACTGTGCTTGGATGCACAAAGTTTGTGTGTTGTGCCTGTTTTAACTATGAGGTCCTTAGGGTAAGGACTGTTTGTTGTTTTTTTTTTTTTTTTTTTTAGATCACCTAGAACAGTATTGCCCTGGTCTTTGTGTAGTCCTGGAATAAAAACATGAATGATGATTTTTTTTTTCATGGCAGAGGTTACAGCAGGCTTTTTATAAAGAGATCCAGTTTATTTGATTTAATTATTTTCTGCTTAAACAAAACATGTTCATCTTAGTTTTCTGTTTGCTTGTTTTTTAAATACTATATTCAGGTGAGAAATGTCCTTTGCAGTACTTGGCAGTTACTTTTGTGTGACCCTAATAATTTATTAAAAATCAGAATGTATGTAGCCCCAAATGTTGAATATATCATTACAGTTGGTTTTCAGTGTTCATTTCAGTCTGGTAGTTTTGTGCTTGTCTGCCATCATGGAGCAAGAGGTAACAAGCCAGGGCCTCACTGGTGTCCAGCACTGGACAGCACTAAAACACCTAGCCATTTAACAGGCAAATGCGAGATCTATAAACCAGTGTGACAAACCACCTGCTGCTCCGTTCCTACTGTTCCTTCTTCTGTCTGCAAATACAAATTACATGAATCTGTATCACCAAGAAATCTGCAGACTCTAACAAAATGTCAGCCTTCAGCTCTACTACATGTATGAGAAAGATAATAGGAAACTGGACCACTGGTATACTTTTTCCATTATTTTATGGAGTTCTTTCTCACATCTGTTTTTATTTGATTCCTCTGTAACATGGCCATATTTGACTTAGATGTTTTGCTACTAAGAACAGAAGATACTTCACCATTTCACTAACCTGCTTTCAGAGAGTTGTCATTTCCCTTAATTTTGTTATTTTTATAATTTATAGTTAAGTAACAAGAAGGAGCTACTCTGGAATTTGCTTTTAAGGCTAGGTACCTTCCAGGAGCAAAAGTTAGAACCATTATTTACATACTATTCTGAGAAATATATGTTATTTATATTGCTTTCTTACTAATTGGGTTGAAAAATAATCCAGCATCTGATTTGGGAATCCTTTTGTGTCAGTATAGGCTTTTTTCTGACTCACCTTGGTGAGTGGACTATGTGAGTCTCATTACTTGAATAGGTGAGTGTGAAAGGCTACAGTTTATGTTTATCAATTTTAGCTGAAGAGGAAGGATGGGGATCCACATCTATCAGCTATTTTTTCATTTTTTTCTAATTTTTTCTAATTTTTTATTTTACAGGTGATGGAAATTAAAGGACAAATGATTCATGTGCCAGAATCAAACTCAATTTTGTTTCTGGGTTCCCCCTGTGTGGACAAGCTGGATGAACTGATGGGCCGAGGCCTCCATCTTTCAGACATACCTATCCATGATGCTACTCGCGATGTCATACTGGTTGGGGAGCAAGCAAAGGCCCAGGACGGCTTGAAAAAACGAATGGATAAGCTGAAGGCAACGCTAGAATGCACACACCAAGCCCTGGAAGAGGAGAAAAAGAAAACAGTAGATCTGCTTATTTCTATTTTCCCTGAAGAAGTGGCTCAGCAGTTGTGGCAGGGGCAGCAGGTTCAAGCCAGGAAGTTTGACGATGTCACCATGCTCTTCTCAGACATTGTCGGCTTCACTGCCATCTGTGCACAGTGCACGCCCATGCAGGTCATCAGCATGCTGAACGAGCTCTACACGCGGTTTGACCATCAGTGTGGTTTCCTGGACATCTACAAGGTAATAGCTCAAGTCCTAAGTTAGCAAAATGTAATTGAAACTAAGATAGAAAAAAATCCCAGTAGCCATCTTCCTAAATTACAGACCTTCCCTATGAAAACAGAAAGGCAGTATTTTTGTTTCACGTGAAAAAAAAAATCTGAAATACCCTCATTGAAGATCAAATACTTTGATGCTGGGCTGTCATCATGGTTCCCCAAAGGAATATATGCCTTATATTCCCATTTTCCTATAGGAGTGTACACTTCCTGTATTATAGTCAGGTTTCCTTTAGGTGATGCATCAGCCACAGTGTCCTAAGGATAATGAAGTGCACAGTGATGATCCTAGCCCAAGCTGCAGCTCCTGGAAGCACTCAAATACTTTGTCTCAGCTGAAACTGGAATGGTTTAGGATTTCAGCACTTACCTTTCCCCTGAAAGAATCCAAATTTTCAATGAAGAGCAGAGCATTCACTAAAAAAATTGTTATGAGAGATTTATACTTCCACTGAAAACAGGAGGACAGCAGATGTCCATTCATAGTAAATGGAATGAGTGGGACATGGCATTGGGGTGCCGTGCTCCTTTACTGCTCTGCTGAAGAAGAGATATTGCATGCGTTGGTCCTGTTAGAGGCTTCATCACTTTAATTTCTCTTTAGTGAATTTGGTGTCCAGTATGTATCTGGGAGAAAAAAGGGGGGGAGGTAAAATTTAATAAACTAAGATATTATCTAATTATCCTGTGAAGTCTACAGAGAATAAGTTTTATATATGGAATACCTTTAATTTGGTGATAGGAAAAGCAGAGTACATTTCTTTATAACCGAATGCACCAAAGGAAAAAAAAAAACGTAGTTCTAATAATACATTGACTTAGTTTTCTGTCCGAGGCTTGCAAACTAAATCACTCTTTCAAACTGTTTCAAATAGTATTTGTTGATGGGCTATAGAGAAAATGGCTTCACAAGAGTGATGTCCCTTTCATTTTTAGCCTCTAATACTCTTTAAACAGCATCCAAAAATATTAATTACCCACCTAAATAATAATCGTGGCTGAAAAGTTACAATACATACCACAGATAGAACTGAACATGGTATAGATACAGATTGTTAGGACAGTGTAGCAAAGTACACTGTAAGTAAGTTTTGTGCTCCTGGGCTAGGGGTTTGTATTCCTGATGCTCAGAAGCCAAAGGCCATGGTGTGAGAAGACTACAATGAAAGGTACCAACCGTCACTTGAAAATTGTTATGGTGATACAGTCGTGGAAGATTGGAAGCTTGGTGTCAGTTTATATTAATCTGATGTTGCTGCACGGGATCTTGAGCCAGCTCTGAGAACAGGACTTGAGGAACTTCTGACCCACAGTCAAGAACGATATCTAGTGACCCTATTTCACATGCTGTATCTGGTACATGGGTATAGTTAGTATTTTCCCAGATGATTAATTTTAGTTAGCTGTTTTGAGGCATTCAGGACATTCTTTGTTGAAATGGGAATAGGAAATAAAGTATGTAAAACTCTGATGTGTTTGGAAGGAAGGTTAGTTGAGTCCTCTAAGAAGGAATATTTATACATAGGTCATGAATATTATATCATTTAGGCTACGGTTTTCTGCCTTTCACCTAGCTTTGTGCCACTTTAGATAGAAAGATGTTACTGTATGGGAATACTGTCCTGACCAGTGAAATAAGATGATGACTGCTGAGATAGACAAGGTAAGATTTATGCATTCAGAAAAGAAATAAACACTCCAAAAAGTTAAGACTCCCATGTAATTCTGTGAGCAAAGGAATAAGCAAAACCTGTTTTTCTATGGAAGGATGTTTTACACCTCTAACACCCTTTCTCTGCTGTTACTGCCTTAATATTGCCCCTTCTTTCTCAGATCCTTTCATCCTGGGTTTTCGTCCATCTCCCTGCTCCGCCATGTCCCCTGAGCCTCCCTACACATACCCTGCTTCCACCCACAGCCCACCCATGAGCAAGGCAGTCTGCACCGTGGCTATTTTTGAGTTGTGTGTACCCTTTTTTCTCCCCGCAAATCTTTTTTTCATTTGTTTTTTAAACAGAAGTCTAAAAAAGTTACTGTGGGGTTAAGTGAAAATTATTCAATTAAGCATTACAGAAAGACAAAACCCAGGCAATTAACCCTTCTTCTCTTCCTTAGAGAATCAGGCTTAAAATGACAATTCTTTTGAAAAAGCATTTGTATTTTATAATAAAAATAGCTCATGTGTTTATATCTTTTTAATTTGTTCCAGGTGATACTGTGGGAGCTAAGTTTATTGCTAGGAATGATCACCACCACAGCAACTATAATTTTAGAAGTTATTGTCAGGCAGTGAATTTTAGATGTGTAATCACCAGTATTTGTACCCACAGCCTGCCTCTGAGATACACTCCTGTTACTAGGCTATAGAAATTTATCATGTGACCTATATATACATCAAAACAGATCAGTTTTCAAATTTTCTTGTTTTTAAGCAACATGGCAGGAATAATTTGCAGAGATTATTTGGTGAGTAGTTCTGAATACCAAATTCACTGTTTTATAAACAGATAATTAAGCAAAATTCATTAAATAAATTCCATGCTGTAAATTATTCACCCAGCTTTACTGTTACAGCATTTTGAATTCAGAACCTCAGTGCTTCTAATCTTGGACTCAGACAATGAACATAATATTTTCTATTGTCTCATACTATTCATTCAGGGATGTTTACAGAGAAGTATGGCACAGAGAGAAGAACAAAGATCCTCACATTTAACAAGCACGCACAGAGGGCAAGCATAATGAGCTGTGGATACAGAATAAGAAATGCTTGGAGAGGGCTGAAGGGATGAATTACACTTTGAGATTTCTTGGAAATGAAAGTAAGTAGCTGTAACTGATAAGGCAGGGAAGGTATATCCAGTGGATGGATGCATAGGTAAGAATGACACAGGCAGATGATGGACTCAGAAAATGCACTTCACAGCAGCATTTTGAATGGATACCAGAGATGATAGATTACATTTGTCCAGTCTGAGGGAGGACATTACAGTAATTGAGATGCATGGTGATATGAGTCTGGCTGACAGTTTAAGCAATCTGGAAGAATCTGTGTTTCAGAAAATGAAACTTTAGAGAGAATCTGCTTACATATAGCCTTGATGAAAAGATCAAGAGGGACACTCTTGGGGTAATCACAGAAGGGAGAGAATGTGAGACAACTGAGGCCTGGCAGTGCATTTGGAAACTGGTGCTGCTGACCATCTGAACTAATTATATTTTGCTTTGGATTGAGAAATGGGAGAAAAAGATGCTGTCAGGCAGGGAATGCTAGTCAAAGCAATGCTGATGCAGATGCTTGGTAAACTAGTGTATGTGGAAATGCAGGTAGAAACATGGACCCCAGGAGCAGAACTAATGGGAGAGAGAAGATCTCAGTAAATTTTGAAAGCAGTTGCTTTGAGTAAAATATATACTGGTTGGCCTGACAGTTTGTGTCTTTGTTTTGACCTGTTTTTCTGTGTATCTGAGTTCCTCTTGTTTATGAACCAAGTGGTGGGAAACTATGCTTCAGCTAAACCATATTTCATCACATAAACTATTTAGATATGCCGCAGCCATGGCTGCTGGCATTTAAAACATAACCCTGCAAACTGAAATTGTCCCTGCTCAAGATTCCTGCAGCTTCTGCTTCTCCCTCCAAGTAATATGTCTTTGACATAGGATCATTTTACATATTTTTTTCTTGTTGAGTCCTTTTGCTTGTGTAGGCCTGCTTTCTCAGCTGTTTTCCCCTCAGTTTCCTTTCTGAAACAACCCAGTTTCCCTCTCTTGCCCTTTAACTACTTTGTGGAGTAAAGGCAACATGTACTGTTGCTGTTTTTTTCGTCATGCATGCACTGACTGGGTGGCTATATATGCTGGCTGGATAACTCTGAGCCAAATAGAGCAGAACCAGGCCTGCTCCAGTCGGTGTTAGTTTCTTTGTCCTTTCTCTGGGCAAGCAGCATTTGCCCTTGAAGACATTTGCAGATTTTCTTCTAACACTAAACTTCACTTTCTGTGAAGTGCTGAGTCCCACTTTCCATGTCTAAGCAGACAGTCCTAAATGTTTTCAACGATGAACTGTTGTCAGCTGCCAGAATTTCTTTGCTATACATCTTTGTTGTCAAAATTTTAATTGAAAATTTATTGAATAAGACAATATAATTCCACAAGTTAATTTTATAGTTAGGGTTCACAACTTTGATATGTGAATTTCTTCTTTCTCTTTGGTTTCATTATTTGGCTAAACTGACAGTTTCTCTGAATGGTACTACACACATGCCTCAAAGTCCTTTACCAGCTTGCTTGGGTTTCTATTTGTCTGTTATCCCTGACAACATTATTTAATTTGCTTTATACTGAAATATATTATTTTTTCTGAATGATAGAGTTAGCATGTCAGATCTTCATTTTCTAACTTTGGCTACAGCCTTAATTTTTGATCATTGAAAGCAAAAAAGGATATGAAGCCTGGACTGCTCTGCAATCATTTGAGACTGATACTCACTGGTTCTGAAAAATGTTGCTTACTTTGAGGTTGTGATATAATGCTTTTAGGAACCTAATTTCAAACTCACAGTTTCTGAAAATGCCACTTTACATTTTTATACTGGTAGTTTAAGTAGCAGAAATCAGTATTCATTCCACAGAAAATACCAGTACTTTCTCAGTACCAGGACTATCCCTTGAGAACTGATATTTGTACATACTCACACGTATGTTCCTAAGCTTCCTATCAGTGTTATAGTGACTCCAATGACAGGAGTCATGATCTTCAGACTATTCTGAGGTTTTCCTGGCTTTATGTTTAATAAACTAAAAGCCAGTTTCCAAGTTTTCATGTAAAATCTATGGCCACTTTTTTTGTCTTCTTTCCATAAGTTCTACAGTTTTAACCTTTTAAGTTCAGTGCAACTACATGACCATTTTTAGAAGGTTTCAAATTCTTTTAGCTTCAGCTTAGGCGTCTGCAGAATG